GTTTACTTCAGTAGAAAATGTCCAATAATAACTAAATTCTTATAATGCTGTCAACTCTTACCTCAAGACAAGAAGTAGGCACAACAGTTTCAATTTCTCAATTATAATCAATGGTAATAGTAAAAATGTTTAACACTGGCTACAACATGGGCTCCGATGAGTGAAAACACTTACTGGCTATAAACAATTTGTATGATTCTACTGCTAGTATCTGCTTGCTGTGGACTGAATTATGTCCCCCCAAAGTCCATATGTTAAAGCTGTAACTTCCCATATGTCTGCATTTGGAAATAGGGTCTTTAGGAACTAATTAAGATTAAATGAGGTCATAAAGTTGGAGCCCTAATCCAATAGAATTGGTGGCCTTATAAGAAGAAGAAAATCTCTCTCTCTCTCTCTCTCTCTCTTCAATCTCTCCTCCCATCCCTTCCGCCATGTGCTCAGAGGAAAGACTGTGTCAGGACAAAGGGGCCTCTCTGCAAGCTAGTAAGAGAGCCCTTACCAGAAACCAAATCCTGCCAGACCTTGTTCTTGGACTTTCCGGATTTTAGAACTGCGAGAAGATAAATTTCTATTGTTTAAGCCTCATAGTCTATGGTATTTTGTTATGGCAGGCCTAGCAGACCAATACGCAGCTCTAATTAATCGTAAGTACAATCTTATTGCGAAGATCAGATACGTATGTAGCAGACATGTTGGCATTGAGTTTAACTTAACAGCAACAGCAGCAACAACAAAACTTCCAGATAGAGAGATTCTACTGCTTTTTATAACATTTATTTAAAACTTAAAAGTTCATTGACAAGATTACTTTTCTGGATATCATAGACCAGTTCTCAAAGTAGAAATAAATTATTTTTTGCAGTATGTTTCCTGAACATACACTGTGGTTAATTTTATTTCATAAAGTAAAGCATAATTTGCTACAGGAATTTACTATTCTCAAAAATGCTGCAGTACAGCAGTTACCACAATGCAATCCTTAAAGGGGAGGCCTGCAAAATGCTCTAAAAAGATAATCTTGATCAAGCAAGTGTGGGAAATGATGCTTTATTAAAATGAAAATAAATGGGTTTATTTTATTGTTGGAACTCTTAGAAACTTTCATAACTAGTATGTTGAATGAATTTATCAGTAATGTTCATTGTGACTCTTAAGGGTAGATATATAATGCAGAATTGTCCAAATTCATTTGACAAGGGGGTCCTTACTTCACTTAACACAAATTAAAATCCCATGGAACTGATGTTTTTCAGGGTACACAGCTTCGACAATAATCCTATTGTAAGATGAAGAACCCTTTTGCAAAGGGAAGAATCACTCTTTCAGTAGATTTCAGAGCAGGAAAAAAAAATCTAGATATTTCCAACAGAAAAGGGTTTAACACCTGGAATTAGGTGCTGGCAAAGTTTTGAAAAGGCTATAAGAGTGGAAGACGGGGTGAGAGAAACTGCCACTATGTCTTTAGGTCACATCCAGTAAACTACATTCAGAAGGTCAGGAAGGTGCTGTTGCCACTGGGATATTTAAAAAAATGCTATAGAAAACTATTGAAGAAATCATAGTGCTCCTCAGTTCCAAAGGTTAGACCTGTCAGAGGATGGAGAGTCCAACCAAACAGCAAATGCTTGCATCTGCTGGAACCAATACATCAGCTTCCACTGCTGGAGGAAGATGCCCACCCCCCAGCCCTCA